GCTTTTACTTAATAGAAAAGCTCTTCTTCATCATTTCAACAGTCTGGTCTGTATCTGAAGATGAATTACACGCCCGCTTTGTCTTCTCCGGGTTAAGCAATCCCAGTCATTTCATGGTTTGTTTTTTTTTTTCCCCCTCAGAGGCTGTCTGCTCTCCTCTGGGCAGAGGCAATCACAAAATGCATATTGTTAGGCTTCTGCATCCATGGAATAAATGGATATTTTATTTAAAAAAAGCTTCAAACCACTGAAAGTGGAACTGGGAGGAGCACGACAGAGGGGACAGAGCAGGTAGCGCTCAACACCACAAGGCAGCTGCCAGCTCCAAGGAAACGCTGCAAACTCATGCAGGGACAGCTCCAGAAGCAGCAGCACAGACTCCTACGGCTGCTTTTCCCTAATGATAGCAGGGAAATCTCTCCCTTTAGCTCACGACCTCACAACACCGCTGCCAGGCATCAAAGGCGCCTGGGGGGTGAGCAGAAAAACAAACTCAGAGAGCTCCAAGAGCCCAGACACACTTCCACAGCCCCCGGAACAGGAACAGGCACTCGATAATCTGTCCTTTGACAGTGATTCATTAAACTCCAGAAAGGAATGTACTTCTGGGAGAAAAAAGGAAGAAAACGCAAGCTATAAATAATCAGGCAGCGCATTCCTGCGAGCTGTTCCCTGCAGCCTGCACCGGGGCGCGGACTGAAATAAGAAGGGTTACACAATTATAGGGATTCACCATCCCAAAGTGGCTTCCAGCACCTTAATGCTGCAAGCGAGGAAGTGTTCCTAAAAGCTGGCAGCGTGAAGTGAAGCATACCTCCAGGCAGGGCTTGCTGGATGAAGGATTCCTAAAAGCTGGCATGGAGAAATGAAGCACACCTCCGGGCAGGGCTGGCCGTCCGTCTCCTGATGGACCGTGAGTGCTGGTGCTGAATTACTTCACAGGAGCCCTCGCTGGTTATTATTTTTTTCCTCTCCACAGCAGAAAACACAAAGCTGAAGAGCACCAGCCTGACCAGAAGGGAATACTAATATAATTCAAGCAGCACTGCAACGAGCTGCCTTTTAAAAGACACTTAATTAAGTGCATATGAGCAGCGGCACAGGCTCGTTTGCAGGAGATTGCAGTTTCCCCGTCTGGGTGGCAGGAGAACGGGCTGAAAGATGCTTCAAAAGCTCCTGCGAGGCTTTTATTAGCAGGCAATTTACAGTTGTCACAAGCAGCTTCCTCAGCAAGCTCTGCGGCCAGCAGTCAGTGTCTGGACGGGCTGCGCCGCGCCGCTTCTCCGCCGCGCTCCCTCGCCAGCAGCCGGCCCTTGGCATCACCGCAGGTAGCACAGAAATGTTATTTTAAAAAAAAAAATGATTTTGTGCGTGGTTTTTGAGTGCTCTTCAGTTCTTACCCGCCCCAGGACCTCGATGGGGTGCTTGGTGGCTGGTCCCAGCACGTGTAGGAGATCCCAGCCCTGCTCCAGCCTGCCCCGCAGCTGGAGGAGAGCGCAGCAGTCGGTAGCACGAGCAGGAGGACGCCCACCGTGCCCTCTTCACGCCTCCCTGCTGAAATATTCCTTGGGAAGCTCCTAAACCCAACGTCTGTCACTGTCCCTGGCTTCACATCTGCAACGCAGAGCCTTATCCTCATCTCACCCACGGCAGCAGGCAAGGACCAGCCCGGCTGCCCGTCCTGCCCAGCACCCAGCCCCGAAGGCTGGCTGCTCCTGCTCCCTGCCAACCCCCCGTAAAGCAGCTCCACTCCCCAGCCGAGCACTTTTCCGCCAGGTGAGGAACTAAAGCAGCTCGCAGAGGGCAAGCCAAGCTGTGGATGTCAGATATTTAACAGCACAGCTGGCCCCTGGACTCAGCACCCAACCATCACATCCCTCGTGCCGCTCCAGGCACTGGGATGCCATAAAATGAGCCCGAGATGAAGCTGGGGCAAAGTGATCCAGCTGAAATAATAAAGAGGGAAAGGGGAGGGTAGTGTTTCAGCACCCACCTGAGCCATGCTGACACCTGGGAGGAAGAAATAAAGGACAGGGGAGATCACTTATGGCAGCCCCAGGAAGCACCCAGCACTCACCTGCCGGCTCCGTGGCCATTTTCACAGCACAGGAGGTCAAGGCAGGGCTGGATGAAGGCATCCAGCTCTCCTAAGCTTTTTTTTAAGCTCCTAAGTTAAGGTTTTCACATAGCTGGGTCCTTTTTTCCACCCAGCCCCACTGCTGGTCGGGTTCCCCACGGGCACACCTCCCAGCTGAGGAGGCGCTGGGCGCTCGGAGGGACCCAGCGCCTGCCTGGCCCTGTCCGTGAGAGCCAAGCCCCCGTTTCCAGAGCTCTGCACCAAAAAATGGGATAGCACAGGGCCATGACAGAGCCAGGACCCCGGCAAGCTGCTGCTATTTGTCCTGCAAAACAAGGCTCCAGCCTGGAGCAGCGAGAGGGGAGCTCGGTGCGCCCCCAAAATTAGTAGGGTGCCTCAGTGCGCAGCCAGCAGCACTCTGGGGCTACTTTCCTTACTCCCAGAAAATAATATTTGTGATCCCTTTGAATCAGGAGGCCCAGAAAGCTCCAAAAGGAGCCTCTGGCTCCAGTGTTGAAGCAGGACCATGGCACAGGGTGGATGCAGGCAGTGGGGTGAAGGCGGCACGCTGCTGGGGTGAGAAAAGGGTCAGCCAGGCAGCTCTGGGTCAGTCGGGACAACGCTAATCCCAAACACAGTCGTGGAAAACTCGATAAAGGATTAAGAGAATGGAGCCTAATTACAGCCCTGCTTTAATCTCCACCAAGAGCTGCTTAGGAGAAACTACACCCTATCAAGTGGGCTCAGTTTCATTCTTAGGTTAAACAAGTCCGTAATCTCCCCGAACAAGCACAATTAGCAGCCAGATCCCCAGCTCCTGGTAAAAAGTAGAGCTCTGCACCAAAGCACGCAGGCAACGACTAATTGCTGCTCGAGATCTAACGTTTGTCAGCTTGCTGAAGGGGTTCAGGTAAGTACAAGCCCTACCGTAACTGATAAAAATCGCAACCACCGAGGAACAATCCAGAAAGTAAATATATATCTAAAAAGGAAACGAAAAAAAAAAAAAAAAAGGAGCCCGATGATATAATTTGCAGATGACACAAGAGCTGGCAGGGTAACAACTCCCTGAGATCAGGCAGCCCCGGAGAACAATCCCTTGCAAACCTCGCTCCCTCCCAGCAGCTCCCGCTGCAGCAGCCTCCAGTACAAAGGTACAGGCGGAGCAAGGAGGAGCACGATCCACAGCTTCCAGCGACTGAAATCCCAAGAAAATAGCTCCGCATTAAGTCATAAATCCTGCTCTGATGCTGAGGAGAAGAGAGCTGCTCGGTGTATGAACAGGAGACTACCCTGGAGAGCACAGACAGAATTTTATCCGCATCGAAAGCGCTGAGGAGGCGGCAGGAACACCGTAGCTACGTCTGCGTGGCCGGAGGGGGTTTTGCTTTAATTTATCAAACATTGTTTAAAAATCCTTCCCCGCTTTCAAAAAAGCTGCAAACGCAGCTTGAGAGCGAGGAAGGCAAGGCATTTTGAGCAGTGGCTGATTGAAAAAGCTCGAGCCGTGCAAACTGCAAAGCAGATTAAGAAGTCACTCGAAAAATCCAAAGCGTGCATTTTAACCGTGAGGTGACATCTGCTGCTAAAGGACACTGCGGAGTAGCAGGGGAAGTGACAGCAAAATATCTGCAGGCTGAAACCGAGAAAAAAAAATGCGAAATGATTAGCAAGTCATACAACCACGCGGGCTCACGGGGAGAAGCGAGTGACGCCGCACGGCCCACGTACAGGGGCTGTCGTGGAGAATAACCCTGCCCTCAGCCTGAGTCATTCATTTACGAGCTGGGAGCAGAGCACAGAAAAAAGAGCTGGAGATCGGGCATTTCACGTGAAGGGCTTGGGAGAAGTTAGAGGTCCAGCACTAGCTCCCTGTCCCTAAAAAAAAATATACCAAGGGGACAAAAAACTAGCTCCCTGTCCCAAAAAAAAACATACCAAGGGCACAAAAAACTCGCTGAAGAGCAACAAACCTCATGGGTCAATTGGGCGTAAGGATAATTAGAGTGCTCTGAAGTCACAGCTCGGTCCAGAGGAGCTTTTAGGCCAGCAGGTTTCCTTTTCCCTCGAAGGTTACCTGACCCCACAGATTTACGGGATTCTTAGAAACCTGGAGAGAGGAGATCCAAAAATACTCTGCAAAAATCAAGGAGCATAACAAAAAGGGGAAAAAATAAAAAATAAAAATAAAAGCGGAATTAGAACAGCAGAAGGAAGTGGAATTAGGAGCAATGGATATAATTAGTAGGGGCTGAATGGCAGGAAAGACATCCTGAAATGCATTATTGGGATTCCAGGAGCATCGCGGACCCGAGGGGGTCCCCACAGAGCCTCGCTCAACTTGCTCGGCGTCCTCCTTCACACACAGCGACGTTGGCTGTCAGGTATGAATCTATACTCGTATAGAAAATAGAAATTAAATATTTCTAATTAAATATTTTATATTGAGAGCCCCCAGCGCAGCAGGCCACGAGCCGGGCCCCGCTCGTCACACAGCCCAGCGCTGTCGCAACGCTCCCTCGCATGCCCCCGTCTCCCGTTTTATATTTAGAAGAGGGGCAGAGCTTTGTCCCACATCTGCACAGCTCCTCGCACAATGGAGGCCCGGCCCATCCTGCTGACTCCCAGAATCACAGAAAGAAACCGGCAGAAAAAAAAAAGAAAAAAAAACGGGGCTGGAAGGGACTTCAAGAAGGCATCGCGGCCTTCCCCCGCCCCAGGGTGAGAATTACTACACTTGATTTTTTTTTTTTATTATTTTTTTTCCCCTAACAGAAAGCTCTCCCTGATGGGTGGGACACGAACCCACCCAGACAGATGAATTAGCTGGACCTTCACTTTACCATCTTAACCCCTCGGCCACCCTCTGATGACACCAACTCAGCACCGAGCGCCGTGCCCCTACAACACGGGGCCAGCAGCAATCGTGGTATCTAGCTCTGCTGTGTCAGACACTGAAAATGCTGCAATTCTGCAAAAAAAAAAGTGTTGGAGGTAGGAGCCCAGCAGCACAGCCTATTTCTGATCCGTGTTTTGGGATCTCTGTTCCTAGAAGGGAAGCCAGCCCGGCTCCTGAGACACACTTCTTCCATGATGCTTCCCAGCAGTGAGTCACCTTTTCTTTTATTATTTTTTCCAAGTTTCCATCATCCACATTCCCGGACTCTCCAGCACATCGTGTTTACCCCGAGCTGCTTCAGTTTAAACTCTAGAAATCCTTGGAGCAGGTCGCATTTCTGCTCGTGTAGATAACAGTCCTCCTGATGAAGTGCCACTGCTGAAGCTAACGCAGCGAAGGACAAACCTTGCTTCGCCCCGGATGCTCATTAGTGTTCCTGCTGTGGGTATGCAAAGATAAATATAAAGCCTCCACATCAACCTTTAATATTAAGGAACAAGACTAACTGCACTTAGCTCTATGAAACTGAGCAAGAAGAGCCACCCACACGTAATCCTGGCAGTTCCCAGCCATTCTAACCAGTTCTTTCAGTTTTGTTCCTAACGCTGCCGCCGCTCACTTTACCTTTAAAGGTTTGCAGAACTTCAGAAATAAAACTGCGAAGTCAGAAAAACTAAACAAAGAGGCAGCCCTTCCAGCAAGATGAACCCAGCATCCTATTGATCCACGCACAAAAAGCTTTGCCTTGAACTTTCTGCCTGCACTGGAGCATCAGGGCAAGGCAGACAGCTTAAACCCGTTGATTTCTAAAGGAAGCCACCTGAGTCATTTAAAAACCATGACTCTGTAAAGCTCAAACGCTGAAAAGAAAGGACGGGCTGCTGTGGAGGGGGTGGGACAGGGGGCTGGAGGGCTGTTTGTACCTAAACGCTCCCACCTGGCACCGTGATTGCAAGCTCAGCAGCTCCTGGGCTGATAGAGAGAAACCGAAAGATGAAGGTGAAACCCTTACAGAGAGCTATAAACAGCTCTGCCCGTCTGCCTCGTTAACCTCCCAGCAGATAACGAACACATTTGTGCCCGGCGTTATGAGTTAACGCGTTTTGGTTTTCACGTGAAGTTCCCCAGGGAACTTCCTCCACTTTAAACGGGGACAGGAGGTGTTCGCAGTTTGCTGAATCAAGCCCGTGGCTTCTATCGGGACCACGACACTACCAGCATGGCACCTGCCTGGCAAGAACAGCCCTCAAACGGGCAGAATTCACCTCAAATATCACGATTAAAAATAAATACATCAGACGGTTCCTCCTGAGAAAGCAGGGTTCGGTGGCACTGCCAGCTCGCATGTCTTCCCAATTAACAACACAGCAGAAACTCCTGCTGCAAAACCCTAAAGGGCACGGCAAAGGAACACGTACGGGGTCGAGGAGCAGACCCAGAGCCACGGGCAGGAGCAGGAGGGAGACGAAAAGCTGAGGGACGGAGCTGTGGGGCGGGCGGCTGCCTTTACCTGGCTGCTCGGACAGGAGAGCTCAGCAGCGGGGTCTGCCAGCTGACGGACACCACAAGAACCGCTGGAAAAAAGATGTTTAAGGGGAGAACAAAGGAGCCATTAAGCAAGCAGAAGCATTAACTCACATCCTCATCAGGACCGTAATTGTGCCCGCTCCGCAATTAGTCACGGTTTTTGTGAAGGGGTTGAGGAATAACTTCGACAAGTGCTGGGGGAATTTCGGGCAGCAAAACCCTCGTGGGTCCTTCTCCTCCTGCATCCTGCCCATCCTACAGGTGCCACCATGGGCTGGGTGACAGCTCCTTATTGTCACCCGGGGACGAGCTGGAAGGACGCAGGCCCCGAGAAGGAGGAGAAGGGGTCCAACACCCAACACATCCTCACACCACAGCTGTGCACGGCGAGGAGAAAAGCAGCGCGGGGACAGGAGGCAGCACCCAAAGGTGGCGAAGGAGAAATGGAAGAACCAAGAGGGGCAGCAGGCAGGTGGTGAGCCAAGCCTCACCCCACCACCTCCTGCACCTCCCACGCCCCCAAATCCAGCGATTTTGGGGGCTTCTCTCCTTTCTAGAGGGCTTTCCCCCTCAAGAAAGGAATCCTCTTCCTCCTCACACCGCCTCCAGGGTCGGGGCCATCCCCTTGGAGCCTCAGGCAGGAGGCACCTGCCCATGGGGGGAGCACCCCGGGGTGCCCCAATCCAGCCCCGTGGGTGCTCCCCAAACCCCGTGGGTGCCCCCCAAGCCCTGTGGGTGTCCCCCAAGCCCCATACCTGAGCGTGGGGCCGATGCAGGCCGTGTCGGTGCTCTCAATCTCCCGCAGGATCCTTTCGTGCTCCGCCGCCGTCTCCAGGCTCTCCAGCTCCGCCATCTTCCCCCGCTCCATGGAGGAGGAGGAGGAGGAGGAGGAGGAGCAGGGGGAAGGCTCCGGAGGGCACCCAGCGAGCCCAGCCGAGCCGGGCTGAGCCTCCCCTACTACCTGCCGGCCCTCCCTGCTCCCCTTCGGCCGAGCCCTGGCTCCGGGCACGCCGGGAGTTGTAGTGCGGGGAGCTCCGGGGCTGAGCCGGGGCCTGCCGGGGAGCCGCTGCCGGGAGCCCGGCCCCGAGCGGGGCGGGGAGAGCCCCGGGGCCGGCCCCCGGAGGGAGAGGGGATGGCCGGGAGCAGGGAGGGGAAAAAGGGGAGGGTGCTGGGGAGGGGGCTGCGGGAGGGGGAGGTGGGCGTGAGGGGACGCAGCACCACGGCGGTGACATCCTCCATGAGGGGACGCAGCCCCATGGCAGAGACCCCATGTGTCAGCCCCCCTGTGAGGGGACACAACAGCCCCACAGCAGTGACAGCCTCCATGAGGGGACACAGCCCCGTGGCAGTGTCCCTTGTGCCATGTGCCCCTGAAGGGACACAATCCCACAGCAGTGACCCCATGACATCCCCCAGGATAAGTCAGAAACCCATAGCAGTGACATCCTCCATGAGGGGACATAGGCCCCTGGCTGCGACCCCATGTCTTCCCCCATGAGGGGACGCAGCCCCACAGCAGTGACAGCCTCCATGAGGGGACGCAGCCCCCTGGCAGTGTCCCTTGTGCCATGTACCCTTGAAGGGACACAAGCCCATGGCAGTGACATCCCACCTTGAGGGGCCACAGCCCCACAGCATTAAACCTATGCCATATCCCTCGAGGGTACCCAGCGCCATGGCTGTGGCCCCACTGTCACCACGAAGGGAGGTTCCCTTCATGTCCCCAAGTGAGGGGACACCCCCATAGGAACGTCCCTGTGTCGTGCCCCAGGAGGTTCAGCCACCACACCATTCTCCCCCCAAAAAGAGCCCTCCCTTGCAGCGCTGTGTGCCCTCTGCCATCTTCCCCATGAGACTGTCCCCAGCTTAGCCCCTTCCTAGGGATGTGCCCAGCAGGACCCCAGTCCAAACTAACCTCATCCCAATCCCACCCCATTGCAGAGCCCCTACTATGGCCTTGGGGAAGGCGAAGACACCCAGAGCAGCCCCAGAGGTGCCTTCACCCAAGGACACCACAGAGCTTCCTACAGACAGCGCTGCCAGCCTCCGAAAACAGCCGTGGGTGTCAAGGTCTCCTCGAGAGCTCGCTGTGGCTCCCGCCACTAATCTCTCCTAAAATGGCTGGTTATCATTTATTATTATTATTATTTTGTGTCTGAAAACCATGCGTTATCCCAGCTATGTGCTGGCACTGCGTTGGGTGCCAGGAGATCCCGTGGCCTGCGAGAGGCACAGCGGGGAGCTGTGACGTGTAATGGGGTGAAGAGCAGGAAGGACAGGCTACACACGCTGCCGGGGGTTTCTGTGTTTGCTTTTGTCGTTTCATGCTCTGAGATATAAATAAAGTGAGTTAATTGTAAGAGCACGCCTCTGGCTTCCCTCGCTGTGGCTTCCTAAGAGGCTGAGCGCTGCTGGTCTGAATCTCTCTGCATCATCCCCTGAATCAAATGAGAGGGTGATAGAAGAACTTCCCAAATCGCTATCCGTGCGTGACTGCAGCGATACAAGAGGGGCAAGGAAAGCCCGACAGAAACTTTGTTAGCTCACACGAAGTTCAGCAGCTCTTGCATATCATGCCTCCGGCTGCCAAACACGGTGTCGTGCGAGACCAGATGGATGTCGCTTCGGATGTGTTAACACCAGCGAGGAAATCTGTCCTCGGATGGCAGTCACCATGGAGATCCGAGAGAAGCTTCCCGAGGACCAGAAGCAAAAGAGACACGTCAGCGAGATAATGGAGGCAGATAAAAATAGCAACTGGGCAATTTCTGAGCCCAGCAGACGACGCAGCATTCCCCCAGGGCTGGTTCGGGATCCGACGGGAGGGGAGCGCTGTGCATTTTGCGCCTGCCTCCGCCGGCTGCTCCGCAGAGGCGAGCTGGGCTCTCCTCCTCGCCGGCACGCCGGGAGCCCGATGCTTCCAGCACCCCTCCTCGCAGGTGCAGCCCCCCGTGGCAAAGCAGAGCCAGGAGATGGGCTGGGATTCAAACCGCTCTGGACTTCAGACCGCCAAGATGAGCTGCCCATGGCTCCAGGAAAAATATAATGCGCTGCTCGGCGTGCCCAGCTCCGGTGTGAAACCCACAGACACCACCACCTACCGCTGCTAGCAGCTAAGGAGATTACTGTTTTTGCTCAAATTAGTACGGTTCTGAGCCAATGTTCCTGAAGGCAGTGGTAAATATTGCATTGTCTTCACCGAGCCTCAGAAACAGGATTAAACACCAGAGGCTGAGCGAGCGGCTGGTGGTGGCGCTTAATGGTTTTGGTTACAGCATGAGAGCTGCTAGGAAGGACACCAAAGCCAGCTCTGATCCTGAATGCTCAACCAGGTGATGGTGCCACCACAAACACCGCGCCCAGCAGGGTCTGGTTTTCTGTTCTGAGCACACTGCTTGGTCCACCAGACCCCTACAAGGGCTTTGAGCCTGGAGCTGGGAACTTAGAGATCAATTTGTCACCCAGCTCTGACATTTATTCCTTTCTTAACTTCAGTCTCATGGTCCTGTACCAGCAGGAAAAAAAAAATCCTGGAGAAAAACAGAGCATTAACCTCCATGGAAGAACATGGGAAGATACTATGAGGCACGGTAAAACTGTCTAAAAAGAAATGTTTGGCTTTAAATTGAATTAAAGTAAATAAATGTCTATTTTAATTTACCAGCAAAACTTCACGTTTTTTCTCAAGAGGAAAGCACCGAAAATATTTTCATAGATTCATAATTATTCATGGAAAATGGGGAAGGAGAGGGATATTTTTATCTCATAGGGGGACCTCCTGAAGAGCACTAACCATAGATTTTTTATGCATCAAGCGGCTTCCAAATCTGTGGTGAAATGTGAATGCCGAGGCTGACGTTCAGCTCTTTACCCACCATCACCTTCAGTTCTCCTCAGGTCGCTGCCATCTGGGATAAAAGTTTCCATTCTGCACAAAAAGCCCCATTCTTCGTCCCCGGACACGGGGCATCTGGGCACCTTCAGATGAATTTTCATTGCTTACTGACACGGCGTGTCTGGGGTTTGCCCTTATTATTTGTTGCCACACAAACGTTGTGTCATTTCAAAGCCTGTCCCCAAGACGTTTATTTATCCTTGCCAGTCACTGACACAAGCATTCTGCATTTGTATTGTTCTAATTTATTAATCAAATCATCATGCAGAACCAACACAAATGCATCAAAGATGTCTGTTACAAGCTCATAAGCCCATTAGAAAATGGTATCACTTGCCTGACAGATTCTATTTCCCTAAAAACAATGCTGGCTGACAGGAGCTCTTTTATGTTCCCTTAATTTCCAGCTAATGAAGTTCCATATCGGTAGGTGCATTGTTTTTATGGGGCAGGCATCAGCCTGACGGAGCTTGCAAAAATCCCTTTTAATCCCTGACCTCCCTTTAGCATTTTTCCAGTTCTACACTGGGTTGTAATTCTGACATTTCACTAGATGGATCCCACTGACAGAATTTCTTTCATTTATTTTATTTTATTTTCTTTAAATCCCAGCGATCTCTTTCTCATTGTGCTTGCTTTGGTGGTCCCTGGGTTTTCAGCCTGTGCTGTTATTTTGCTGAACTGCTTCCAACAGCTCCCGGCGTCTCCGTGTCCCTGCTGGTGTCCCCCTCTCGCTGCCTGTCCCGTCCCTTCCTCTCACTTCCACGGACTTCAGACCCAACCTTTGGAGAAGTTTGACACATTCAAGAAATGGTCTGTGGGCTCATCTTCTTTTGGTCTCGTCGGTGTCATTCAGGAAAACGTTTCACCATGTGAAATAAGAGGGTTGGAAAACTGATCCATGAATTAAAAAAAAAATAAAATTAGGCACAGTGCGGGATGAAATAGCCGCCTGCAATGTTGGGAACTCAAACCATCCCTGCGGGCTGGTCCCTTCCCTGATGCTGGGTCACTGGCAGTCCCCCACAACCTGCCAGCTCCCCGGTTTCCCCATCCCTAGTCCCTCATCCCCTCTTTTTAAGCAGCGTCCTTCCATTTCCACAGCACCACGCAGCTTCGACCCTCGCTGCTCTCCCAGAGCCCCGGCTGCTGCCCTGGCTTCTCCTGCTGCCCCCCATCCTCCTCCTCCTGCTCCCACCTCTCCCTCCTGCCTTCCCCAAACCCCTTCACCATCACCTCGTTTGCAGCCGGGCTGTGCATCACCATTCACCTCCTCCCACCCCAGCGCATGAAACTACCCCAGAAAATCCTCCTGGTTTTTCTAAACCAGCAAAAACGACGGAGACCAACCCTCGAGGTGCCGCAGGCGAGCCCTGTGCGCTCGGCCAGCCCCTCCTGTTTACCCTGGGCGTGCAGCAGCCTGCTTTCCTTCCCCAGCACCGACCTTTAGCCCCTCTCCAACCTCTTGGGAACGAAGCCCCGCAGCCCCAAGAGCTGCCCCCATCTCATCCTGCCTCCCACCACGGCTTCACCCCACCGAAACCACCCCGCATAGACAAAACGCGGCCGTGCCCGGCCACGGGGAGCTGGAGGGCAGCAGAAGCCTTTCAGCAGCTGCTGCTTTGGGAAGGGCCGTGGCTGGCTCTGCACCCTCCGCCACCATCCCACACACTGTGCTGCCACCCACAGCAGCCAGCCGGGGGGTTCGGAGGCTCGGGGCTGTGCTCCCACCCCGCTTCTCGGTGCCTTCAGGCAGGTGCCCCTGCCCAGAGCTGGCTTTGTCGTCCCCATCCGTGTCTGTCTGCACAAAGCGGTGACCCCAAGATAATTCAGTCTTCCAGGATGTGTTTATAGGGGATAAATCCCAGTCTTCCAGCCACCGCTCTCGCTGCGCTTGAAGTCCTGCTCTGCTTCCCATCAAGACCTGCCAACGCTGAAATAAATTTTGAAGCCTCTCTGATATTGCAGTGCTGTTCCCCAAGCCCCTGCTTGGGACTCGGTGCTTCTGATTCTTGATTCCTGCTTTCTCCTGCATGCTGTCGTGCTTTTCCTTCTGAATACAGGAAATTAAAAGAAGAGAGACTGAAATGGTAGCAAGGTGGACTTCATGGGCTTCAGCCCTGGGGTCTGAGCTGAGCTCTGGCTTTCCAAAGTTGTGGACAATTTTTCAAAACTGACTTTCTGGTTTAGTTACAGACAGGGACGGGGATCTCCAGGGGCAATGCTGGGGTGAAAACCTCTCGGCAAGCCGCACTGGGGTACCTAAATTCCTGCCAAAACCCACCAGCAGAGCATGGGGTGGCTTCACCCAGCCAGGACTTGAGGGCGAAGGGGCAGACCTGTGGCTCACCTGAGCAGCTCTGAGCCTCTTTAGGAGCTCACAGAGCCAGATTCTGAGCAGGGCCTGCATGAAACACCAGGGGATCCCCCAGCTTGGGGGCTTCTGGGCTACCAGAACAAGAAGCAGAGCTCAGGAGCGAAACCACAGCCCTCCCTTCCAGCTGCCCCGGCCGTAGTCATGGAAATCTCCCCCGAAATGACGGCCGCAGCCAGGGCCACCTTGTGTGACTCGCAGCCCTGCCCTTCTTGGGTGGTAACGACGGGCAGAAATACCCAGGGCTCTTCCTGAAAGCTATTGTTCAAAGTCCTTTGCTGGAGGAATTTCGCGTTTCCTCTCCAGCACGGGGGAGCCCTGGCAGCCCTACGGCGGCGGTGGCTGCTCCAGGGGCCAGCTCCAGCGGTCCCGGGGTGGGTTTCCCTCCGGGTGGGTTTCCCTCAGGGTGGGTAAAACCCACCCAGGGCCTCTCCTGAGCCCTGTTACACCCCACAGAAGCTGCCCAGAGCACTGCGGCCACACACGGACGCGATATCCCGATGCCAACAGGAGCCGTGCTGCAGCAGTGGAGCAGCTTGGGCAGCTTCTCGGGACAAATCCTCAAACCCTATAGGCGTATCTCCAAACAATGATGTCTGGACAATTCTGATAAGACACCAGGAGCCACCTCAAACAGCTCGGCTGCGTTTCCACCCCCAGCAGCTCCCTGCTGCCCCAGCCACCTCCCCAGTCCTTCGCCCCGCTCCCCTCCCGCAGCCCCAGCCTGGAAATGCCGCTGACACCTAGCGTCGTGTCCCTCGACTGCACCCCGAGCTGCAAAGGAAGCCCAAAATCTGGTGATTTTGTGGGCCACTGGGGTTCTGGAAAGCCCGCACCCACCTTTCCTCCACCCTGGATGCATCCTTGTAGCCAGCAGAGCTGCGCAACCGGAGCTGATCCTGCTCCGTGCGACCTGTCTGCATCACTCTGCTCGTCCTCCCGCACCTAAAATCCTAAAGCTGTGTGCTGCCCCTTGCCCTTTTCCAGCACTAATTTAATTTTTGGAGCTGCCGTTTCTGGAGTCCTCCCTCCACGGGGAAAGTCTCTGTTTGTGAATCGTCCCTGTGGATTTACGGCTGGGTTTGGGTAGCGGGTGAGGAGAGGAACTAGCAAGCTGCAAAAAAAATACCCACAGGGATAAAAGGGCAGCCAGGAAAAGTCAGAAATAAAAATAAAAATAATGAAATAAAAATTAAAAAAATAAGAAATATTAAAAGATAGAAATAGAAATAGAAATATAGAAATAGAAATAAATAAGAATAAGAATAAGAATAAGAATAAGAATAAGAATAAGAATAAGAATAAGAATAAGAATAAGAATAAGAATAAGAATAAGAATAAGAATAAGAAAAGAATAAGAATAAGAATATAAAAATAAAAATAAAAATAAAAATGCTTTGGGGATTTAGTTTGGGATTTAATTTGATTTGGGATTTTTAGGATGTAGCCTAGATCTCCCAATACGAGGCTCCCTACCCCTGCAGCACCCCATCCATCGCCTTTCATCCCACAGGGCTCTGGCAGCAGCACATCAGGGTGCTTGGAAGGAGAAGCAAAGAGAGCCGGTGCCTCCTTGTCCCTGAGCACAAAAAAACAAACAAACAAACAAAAAAAAAACCCTGAGGCTGCAGCAGCCCTGAAATCGCTGAGTGATGCTTAGGGCTCAGTGTTCTCCAGGAGAAGCGGAATAAGCACAGTCAGCGTGATTGTGCCACATTGAAACCCAGCAGATATTTGAGGAGGATCTGCAGGACTAAAGGGCACGGCTAAACTCCCAGAGGGAGTTTCCTCCCTCTCTCTGATTTCTTGTTTTTAGTGCGGATTAATGCAGGCAGCTTCTGCTGGCTTCCCAAACCCTCACCCCCAATTCTACACAAATTCATTGGGGTCTGGAAACGGCTCAGTTGGGAGAAGTGAACCACTGGAAGAAAACTCCATTAAAATGTTGCTCGTTTCCAGCTGGCCCTGGGAATGGGGACGAGAAATGTGATGGGTGCAGGGCAGGCAGAAAGGGGGGAACTGGCACCCACCAAGGCAAGTTCTGCCATCAAGAAGCTGCTCGTGACAAAGCCACGCGTTCACTGTCTTCCTTCTTGCTGACGATCTTAATTTTGCCGAACTGTGAAAGATTTGCTTTAGCAAAACAAATATCGCTCTTGGGCTTTCGCCACGCCATGAATTTTTAATGCTTTATTAGAACGCGCGAGGGTTTCAGCAGCAGCTGTGACTGCTTAATGGAGAGAAACTCGGCTTCGTTACCTGCTCAGGCACCGCGGGGGCCGTCTGTGCTCAGGATGTGAGAGCTGTGAGACTGGAACCAGCCAGCAGCTAGCTCCTCACCCACCGGGCCCCACTTGGAAAGCTGGCTGCATCCTCATACACCAAAATATTCATTTACAAAGGGCTTTAGGAATTTCTGGGATCAGACAACAGTGTTGTCACTTAATCCCAGGATCTCAGAGTGGTTGAGGTGGGCAGGGCCCCCCAGCAAGGTGCCCAGCCCCACATCCCGGTGGCTGCTGCAGCTCCCCCAGGAGGAGCCCCCCAAGCTCTGGGCAGTCTGTGCCAGGGCTCCGGCACCCCTGGGCCCAGCAGTAAAAAAATATATTGGGGGAAAAAAATAAGTTGGGAAAAAAATAAATAAGATACTGGGCAAAATATATATATATAGGGAAAAAAAAAAAAAAGATAATGAGGAAAAATAAAATTATGTAGGGGAAAAAATAAACTGATATTGGGTGAAAAAAATATATTGGGGAAATAGTTATATCGGGGAAAAGAATTATAATGGGGGAAAAATAAATATATTAGGAAAAAACTGATATTGGGGGAAAAAATACATATTGGGGAAATAATTATATCGGGGAAAGGAATTATAATGGGGGAAAAATAAATATTTCAGGAAAAAACTGATATTGGGTGAAAAAATATATATAGGGGAAAAAATTAAATGAAATAAAATGAAATAAAATAAAATAAAATAAAATAAAATAAAATAAAATAAAATAAATAAAATAAAATAAAATAATAAAAATAAAATAATAAAAATAAAAATAAAAATAAAAATAAAAATAAAATAAATAAACTGCTATGGGGCCAAAACCCCCGATTTGGGGCCACAAGGCGCAAGGGAAGCCCCGCGGGGAGGGGGCGCGGCGGGAGTAGGGCCGAGCCCTGGCCACGCCCACCGAGGGGGCGTGGCGAGGGGCGGGGTCAGCCAATGGGAGCTGGGGCTGGCGGAGCGCTCATTGAGGGGCGACGGGGGCATGAATGGGGCGCGTGACGTCACGGGGGCATGAATGGGGCGCGTGACGGCGCGGGGGCGCGAAGCCACGCCCCCTCCGTGGCGCGCCACGATGGAGCCGGGGCCGGGAACGGGGCCGGGAACTGGGATCGGGAATAGGATCGGGAATGGGATCGGGAATAGGGCCGGGAATAGGGCCGGGAGCGGAACCGCAGCGCTGGCCCGCGACCTCCTGCGTGCTGACGGGGGCTTCGCGGGGCTTCGGGCGCAGCCTGGCCCGGCTGCTGGCCCCGCGGCTGGGTCGGGGCTCGCTGCTGGTGCTGCTGGCCCGCTCCGAGGAGCCGCTGGCCCAGCTGGCGACCGAGCTGCGGGGCTCCGCCGCCGCCGGGCTGCGGGTGGAGTGCGTGGCCGCCGAGCTGAGCACCCAGCAGGGGCTGAGGAAGGCGGTGGAGGCGCTGCGGGAGCTGCTGCCCTCGGCGCCGCCCGGCCCTTTGCTCGTCGTTAACAACGCCGGTAACAACCGGGAGCGGGGCTCCTAATGGTGGGGGTGGGCGCGGGGGGATTGCCGGGGGCTTCTTGTGAACGGGGCTGGGGAACTGGGGCAGCAGCGCCGGGACCGCTCCTTGCCGGGATGTGGCGCAGGAGCTCCGTGCTTTGCTGCTGCTGAGGCTCCTGCAGCCCCCCCGGCCTCATCCCGCAGCCCCCCAGCCTCATCCTGCAGCCCCATGCCCCTCTCCTGCAGCCCCCTGCCTTCCTCCATCCCTGCTCCTCAAGCTCTGTCCGCCAGAAAACCTTCAGACCCTGCTTTGGCTTTAGGGCCAAAGTCTGCTGGCTTTAGGGCCGCTTTTTCCCCATTATTTCTGGGATAAGGCCAACCCTTCCAGTAGGTAACAGCGCTGCAGGAGCAGGACCTCAGATCTTCCCCCAACTTGGTCCAGAAAGATCAAAATGCAGAGTGTGTGGGGCCCTGTGGGGTGTTGCGCTTGAGGCCAAAGGTTGGGAGCTGTTTGTTCAGGCAGGGCAGGTCCTTGTCCCGTGGTGCTGCCCATGGGTGACCCAAAAACGTGAGCAGAGCCGTGCCGAGCTCCTCGCTCTGCCAGGAGATCCCGATCTAAGCAGGAGAGCTTGGACCAGCAAAGCTGCCTAATGTTTGTCCCATGTTGGGGTATTGCTTGTGGAAATGGGGGTGCAAATATGGACGGTGTTGGGGCCATATTTAACTACTCCAGGCTCATTTGTCCTTCGTTCCCAGGCTCCCTGGGAGACATCTCCAAATCCTTCCTCGACCTCACCGACCCGGCTGAAATCAACACCTACTTCGCCTTCAACGTCACCTCGGCGCTTTGCCTCACCACGGCCGCCCTGCAGGCCTTCGGGAAGCGCCCCGGCTCGAGCAGGACGGTGGTGAACATCTCCTCCCTCTGCGCCCTAAAGCCCTTCAAGAACTGGGCGCTGTACTGCAGCGGGAAAGGCTGCCCGGGACATGATGTTCCAGGTGCTGGCGCTGGAGGAGCCCGACGTGCGCGTGCTCAACTACGCCCCGGGTGAGCAGGGGGCTCGTTAATTGCTGCTGGTTTTAATAGAAGGAGATATTCCTCCAGGTGCAGAAGGAGAACGGGCACCAGAGTTTGTGATTTCTTCTGCTTTGATTCCCCAGGTCCTCTGGACACGGACATGCAGCTCTTGGCCCGCACGAAGACCGGAGACCCCGAGATGCGGCGGCAATTCCAGAGCCTGCAGGAGAGCGGGCAGCTCATCGACTGCTCCGTGTCGGCCCAGAAGCTCCTGAAGCTCCTGGAGGAGGACGCCTTCAGCTCCGGCGCCCACGTGGACTTCTACGACGTCTGAGCTGCTCTCACCTGGCCCCTCGCCTGCGTGCTTTGCTGTCGTACTTCAGAGAAGTAAGAGCAGGAGGTCATCACCCCTGGCTCTCCCCATCTCTCCAGAGACCCTCCTGCAGCTCGGGGGCTCTCTCAGAGCCCAGAGGGTTTGGGATCAGAGCTGAGCAGTTCCCAGTGCTGCTTGCAGGCAGGGAGCTGCCAGGAGAGGGAGCTGCCTGCGCAGGAGATGCGAACACCGGGGTGCCTGCCCGGAGCTCCAGCTGGCACAAGCATAGCCCTGGGCGAGGGTTTGATCACTGCCCTGAGTTTTTCCTGTTTTCTTGGGGCTGGGGCTGGGGTTTGAGCCTCTTCCAGGTTGTTCTTTTAGTTATTTGTGGGCTTTTAGCCTCATTTTTCCAAGTTCCATGAGGCGTAAGCCCACTCCTTGGAGTGCCAGAGGTGGGACAAGCACAGTGCTGGTGGCGAGGCTGGCACCCCCCACCTGCCCCAGAAACGCCTAGCTCCTTCTGCCACCCTGTTCTTGCAGCCTTTTATTCCGAGATTATTTTTCTGTCTCCCTACGTCTCCAGTCATTAAAAGTTTCCTGTCTGCTCTGGTCTTTCTGCTGTGTGTTCAAAGTGGGTGCGCTCTGGGGAGGGTGGGAGCAGGGAGCCTGGCTCAGGTCGTGGTCATCATCCCGCAAGGCACCACACGTGTCCCTCTGGGTCCTCTCTGCCACCTCCAGGTGATTTCCTGAGCTCCGTGGTCACTTAATTCCATCAAAAAAACCCTTTTCCATTAACTCCACGTTCACTTAATTCCGTCAAGCTCAACGAAGCCTTCTCCAGAGCTAGTCTGCCTCTTGGTTTCCTCTTCCCTGTGTCCCTATTAAGTTAATTATTAGCAAAAATCCCTCTGCTTCCTATACCTCTTCTTCTGGGTTTGGTGCCTGATGCCGTTGTGTGTTTTTGGGGAGCCCAGAAGGACCTGCTGCTGTCCTCTCAGGGGTCAGGGGGTCCTGGACTCGCCTCCTTTCACAGAGGGCTGAAAATCACCCCTCACCCTGCAGCTGGGTGGGCCCTGTCCCAGCCAGTTTATGGGCAGAGATTGGGTCCTTTTGGGATCCGCTTCTCTGCAATGAGTAGCGCCGGTGATCACAGCTGGGTATCCCCAAATCCTGCTCTTACGGGTTCTGGGCTGCAGGAGGAGGGAGACCCCCCAGAGGAGGTGGAAGGAGCCCCAAGCTGCAGGTGGAGCTGGGGGACGGCTTGGTAGGAACGGGCTGGGAGGTCCCGATGGGCTTTTTGGGTTGAGATGCAGTAAAATTGAGGGGCCCCAAAGGGGAGGATTATTTTGGGGTCGTGTGTACTGGGTTGGCACCTGACCACCCTCCAGCAGCAAATCTGTTTTGCCTTAGAGCATCTACGTGGGGGTCTGTGGTACCACACGGGCCATTTAAAATCAGACATTTCCCCAACCAAAACCTCTCCTTCGAGAGACGTTTTTATCTTTTTTACCTGGATTTTGGACATTTGCCTAAATGTAGGTGCTTAACCTAGTGCAAATAGGCTAGGGGCTGTGTCCCTGGGTGCTTCCCAAACCTCTCCTTCCGAAACTCTCAGCGTGCCAGTGGCCATCTGAGCCGCGGTGCGGGGCGCAGACGCGCTGTGCCTGGATGGGACCAGAGGTCCCCAACTCTCCCGATCCCATCCCCTCGGACCAGATGTCCCCAACTCTCCCGATCCCATCCCCTCGGACCAGATGTCCCCATTTCCATCCCCTCAAACCTCCTAAATGTGTGCGTGGGTGCTCAGCACCACCCCACAGCCCCCGGGGACGAGCGGTGCTCTCGGCGCATCCCCAGCCGGCGTCCCCGCACCCAAGGGTGCCGCAAGGCGCAAAGGCAAAATGATAGGAAATATTTTTCTCCTTTTCCTTTTTTTTATTAATTTTCTGTGACCAGCTGAGGGCGTACCGAGACCGGGTAACGGGCAGGGACTGGAGCAGCCACAGGACGGGGGGGGTGAGGCTGCTGTAAGGAGGCTGTGGGGAGCCCCAGCCTCATCCCCTAAGGGCTCAGGGCCTGGAGGAGCAGCGGGCTTGGAGGGGATGGAGCAGGAGGAGGCAGAGCTGAGGCTCCCCTCCTGACTCTCAGGCCACTTTGCCCCTTCCTTTCCTTTTTCTTTTTCCCTTTTCCCTCTGCTTTGCCCTTCCCATCCCAACCCTGGACCCTCCCTGGGGTGGTGGCAGCCCCAGGCAGGGTCCTCGAGCCCCACTGTCCCTGTCCCCAATGCCCTGGCACAGCCCTGCAGGGGTTCCCATGGGACAGCCCCATCCCTTTCGCTTCCTCTGAGCTTATTTAACATGAAAGGAACCAAACCTGCTGCTGGGGGCACCGCAGCCACCAGTGCCAGGCCCTTTCCTGCTGCAGAGCTTTTCTTCTCCAGGTTGGAAGTTCACCGGGGGCGATGCGGTGCCGGGGGGGAGCCCTGGCAAACAGCGGGGACGAGGCTGGAGCAGACGCCTCCCGCTGTGAGATCCAAATTAAGGCATTACAGAAAACCCCTGAGATGGTCTCGATGGCACTTTGGGTCAGAAAAAGGGGAAACGTGCACCGGTGACCTGCCCCGGGTCCCAGCCCCCTCCCGTGCCAGCAGACACTGCCGCCTTTGTGCCGCTGGCAGGGGGTGAAATTCGGGGAACTGGGTTATGAAAGGAGCCAAAGTCACCGCCGGGGTTTTGTTTCCATGTGTGTCACCGGGTCCCTGGCACGGCGGCGAGGGCAAACCCGCTAAATCCCCCGCAAAGCCCTGCCACCGCTCCGCAAAGCCTCCCAAATTAAAAATGGAGCGCACCCCGCCACCTCCCCCAGCCCCCCCTGCTGACCCGGGCTGCCCCCAGGCTCAGGGGGTCGGGAGGCTGCGGCCAGGTCCCTCTGGCCCTTATTAAAGGATTTTCAGCAGAGGGGAAACCTTCCTTGTCCCGGCTGCTGGGCACACAACTGCTGAGCACGGCCCTGCCCGGGGGACACCGGGTGCCCGCTCGCAAACGAGCAGCCGCCTCTGGCCACCGGGCCAAAGGTAAAAGAGCTTTGAGCTCCTCGGAGAGGTGATCCCGAGGGAAAAAGGGCCTGGAGGTGCTGGAGGTGCCCACGTTTCCCCCCCAGACCCCATAGAGGGTGTGTGGTTACTGGGAGGGTGCCCCCCAGGCAGGCAGCCCGCTGGTCCAGAGCCCCTTGTCTCTCCTCGCGAGCTCCGCAGGGGGGTTTTGGGGGCTGTTCCTGGGATTTTGGGGATGTTCACCGAGCCCCAAGCGAGTCCTTCACACCACACCTCACACAACCCCAGACGTAGCAGCCCCTCAGCAGCCTCTGCCCCCAGCAAAGCCCCAAACCCTTCTGTGGCACCAAAACCACCCAACAGTGCCACAAAACCCCTCCGATCCTCCCCAAACCCCTCTGGAATATCATCTCGGAGGATTTGGGGCAATCCTCCTCCGAAGGCAGGCTCGGCATGAGCCTCAGGAAGGCCAACCCATGGCCAGGTCCCCGTCCCAATTTTATTCACGTCCCCCCCCGTGCTGCCCCCTGCTTTTGGTGCCCTTAACACCAAGCAGGAGCAGCTCCAGTCCGGCTGAGCCCCCCCCCAAAGAGCAGCCCTTTAATGTGTAACGAGGGACCCCTGGGTTAGGCAAGGGGAGATGACAAATTAACCCGGTTTAGAGCCAAAGAGCAGCGGGTTTGCTGGTAAAATGTCCTGTCCCCACCAGCCCCGAGTGCCTTTAAGGAGTTAGCATTTAGTCGGCGATGGAGGTTAATGGGGGGGGGCACTGCAGAAATGATCTGTGATTAATTAACACAGCACCCTGATAGGGCAGGGCAGCCGGGAACGGGAAGCTTTTCCCTATTTTTCTGCAGATTTGCCCCGTTTGTCGCCACCCATGCGCGATGCAACCCGGGCGCATTTCGAGCCTCGCTCCCCACACATGGAGACGGCGACACCAGCCAGCCCGGACCCCAACCCTACTACTGGCTGCTCCCCGTCCCCTTTCCATCCTCCTCCTCCATCCCCACGCTGTTTGGGGGGAAGGTTCAAAACCCGTCAGGCTTTGAAGCCCTCCCTGCTCCAAAGCCTTTCCCGGCGGAGCCGCATTCACATTCCTGCCGCGAGCACACTTGTCAGCCGAGCTGTCAGCCGCTCCCGTAATAGGGCCACGGCGGTCACTCGTGTTGGGAGTAAACACAACCGAATCTGAGAAAACAAGAGCAGAGCCGAGCCCGGGCGCTTCCCGCAGAGCGCAGGGGAGCGGGGCTGGCGGCGGCACGGGGGGGAAACCCATCAGCCCCCACCCCATCCCCTATATCCCTGCCGCCACCCCAAAAGCCAGCCCCTGGGATGGATGTGTTGGAGCTCTGGGACATTTCTGGGGATGAGGGCAGATGTTCCCGCAAGGAAAGGGGAAAATGTGGGGGCTGGGAGAAAAATTGGGTCACCCAGGGGGGTGGGAGCGGGTGCTTGGGGTCCCCAAGGAAAAGGGGACGGCCCCGTCCCCAGGGGAATGAACTGGGGGAGCTGCAGGGCGCTGATTCCTGGTGGTGATTCCAAGCTCACCGCAGCTGGGCTGGAGGAGAAGCACTTTTTTTTTATTTTTTTAGACTAAAAAAATGGCATTTTGCACGTGCCGGAGCTGCCCTGCGCCCACACCCAGCCCTCCTCCCTGCCCCTCTCTCATCGCCCACCCAGCACCCATGGGTGCCCCCATCCTTGGAGCGACCCCAGCACCTCCTGGCCACCTCGTGCCACCTCCAGCCGTGCCACCAGCCCTGGAGGGGACCGAGTGGGACAGATCCAGGCTCGAAGCTCACCCCTGAGCCCCGTTCCCCTTTACCCTGTGTCACCGGGGGCTCGGAGGGGCTGCAGCGAGCTGGGGTCGAGCCGATGTGTGAATAATTATTGTGGGGTTATTTGTGCCACGCTATTCCAGCTCCCAGACCCTCCAGCCGCATCGCAACAAAGAGGGTGGCCGGCCTGCAAAGCGCAGGATTTAGCACAAAGAAGGGGCCAGGAGCAGAGCTGAGCCGCAGCACGATGCTCCCCCGTCACCCTATTAACGCTTCTTTGGGGTGGGGGCACGGGGGAGACCCCACAACACTGCCTGCACGGCCCCGGGGACAGGGAGAGGTTGTTTGGCCGGGTGGTGATGCCCACGCTGGATTTGAAGCTCTTAAAATTCCCAGGGGGGTTTTTTTGCTCCCCAGCATGAAGCGTGGGACCTGGGTCCCATGTCCCAAGTGGGGCTGGAGCATCCCCACAGCCCCCCGGTGCCCGGAGAGGTTCCTTCAAACCCAGAAGCCCTAAAAAAGCCGAAAAACGCCAGCAACATTTTCTCCTGGCGCGTGAGCCGCTGCGGACGGGGGGAGAGGGGCGGCTATTGTTCGCGTCCAAACGAAACCCTAAATGTTGGGGTCCAAAGGGTGTCGCTCCGCCTTTGAAATCTCCCGCGGCCTTTATTCCCATTAAAATATCTCCGGGATCAGCTCCGAGCGGCGAAGTTTCTTCCCCACCCCCTTTTTTTTTTTTTTTTTTTAATAATAAAGCATCTCAGATCTCCGAGTTGCAA